CACATGTGAGTTACGACTTTGCTGGGTAACTGTTATCTTTCATGAAATGGAAATAATATTATGTTTGCATAAATTTTAAAAGGAGTTACATGATTTTTTCTCATAATGAAACACTGTTCAAAAAGTATTGAAATATTATATACACTCCAAAAAGTACAGCTATCATTACTTTTATGTTTGGCTTTTTTTGCTCAACAATATGTTTATGGCATTCAACCTTTCTAAAAGATCATTTGTTCTATGAGCTCATTTGCATGAAATATGAAAAACAGGCAAACATGGAGATAGAAAGTAGATTAGTGGTTACCAAGGCTAAAGGGAGGTGAGAAAAGGAAATGACTATTAATGGGTGAAGTGTTTCTTTTTGTGGTTGACGAATACTTTCTAGATTTTGATAGTGGTGATTGTTGTAAACTGTAAATATATTTAAAATCATTGATTTATACACTTTAAATGGATGGATTTTATGCTATGTAAATTACACCTCAATAAAGCTGTTTATAAAAAAAGCTCCTGGAATTACGTTTGGGACAGCATTTACTTTTTAAAGTAATTTGTAAAGATGGTCATCTTTATCATATTGACTCTTCTAATCAGTAGTATACTTTATCCTTCCATGAATTAAGTTTGCTTTAATTTCTCTCTATTGTGTTTTGTATTTTTCAATATTAAAGTCTTATAGAAATATGGGTATTTCATAGTCATGCTTTTGTAAATAGCATCTTTTAAAAAAGTTTTAGTAATTTTTGCTGCTGTGAACAGAAATACAGTTGAGGTTTCAAGTTTCAGCTTATTTCTAATGGCTTCTCTGATTTTATGTATTAATTCTGTCGTTTCAAATACGTATTCTTCTGGATTTTTTAATATAAATATCTACTGCATCTATAAATCATTACACATTATGTCTTCTCTCCTGATGCAATTGCTTTCTTTTTTGACTTATTTTTACAGATTAGGGTTTTATTTCCAACATTGAATAGAAGGTACAGTAAAGGTTCTATGTGTATCCTTTCCTATTTCAGGGGAAAATATTTCAGTATTTCATCCTTATGTATGAGGTTTGTTTTAAGGTTTTTTTCGTCATAACTTTCTCATATGAATGCAATTCTATAGTATTCATATTTTTCTAATAAACTTTATAGCCGGTCAATGATGTTACGTTTTT